TTCCTTGGAACTAGCTTTGTGTTCTTGTGTGGTTCTCCTGCAGGAAGGATCTCACGACGGGCACTCTCTTGTAGTTTGCCTGTAAAGCTTCTTGTTGGCTGGATAGCCTTCTTTTTGGTCACTCTTGGTGCACCTGTTTGTGGCTGGATAGCCTCTGTCTTTAGACAGCCACGTAAAACGTGGATTCTGGTCTTGGGGAGCCTTGGTAGTAGCGAACTGCCTCTGTCGGTCTCCTGTCTCTGCTTTCTTGCTGCAGGACCTTGTATTGATGTTAGATGAGTGCACTGAGTGAGTAACAATGACTGGAACAGTTCTCTCGTGAAGATTTGGTTCCTCGTGTTGTTACCGGGATTTCTGTACTTCACGTCACACGAGCGCTGGTTGACTCAAATCAACCTATCTCGCTCAATTTTCGGAGTTAGAAGCTTGCACTGATATCCAGAGTTGCGGCTAGAGGTCTTCTATCGATTGTTGTATGGTACCTTTGGCTTGCAACGCCTGTGTCAGAATCTAGCTTGATCCCCGTCTGATGGCTTCTGCTCGTTGTGATGTGACGTATCGAACTCCCGTTTTTCGCGCGATTGAAGATATCTCGCTGGATAAGAGACGGATTGCCTTGCTTCCAGCACGTAATCTGTGTAGCTTTTTCTCCTTTGTCACCTGTTGCGCGTTGATCTTTCCAGTTCCGGCCGGTAACTGTTAGACGATCGGCAATGGGATTTTTCAGTCTTGCTTACCGCACGGAATTGTCAATTCCTCTGTTAAAGGTGTTTGCCTATACAGATAGTGTGGCTGTGTGCAGTGTTTGCGCACCTCTCCTCTGTTGCAGTGGTTAACTCAATACACTTTGACTTGATAGTCAATACACTTTGTTACCTTGATATCAATCTCGAGATCGGTAGTAGTAACTCGAGATGGCCTTTTGCTTTTCAGTGTTAGCTAGTAATACTGCAGCTTATTGGGGAGTAATTTGGTTTTGGATTAAGCTGAAAAGCAAAAGTGAGGATTTTCTGGTGGTGCATAGCAATTCTTGTGATTGAATTGGATATAAGGACCCCCGCAACACTTTAGACCTAAAACTCCCTTGGTTCCTTGCATGATCAATTTACATGCGAACCGGACTAGATGATTAATACACGAGTCAATAGTAAAGAGGTGTCAGGTATGTTTCCTCCAACAGTGGTGGTTCCATGGTGCTGCTGCTGTTGCTTGCGAAATGACCGTCGAGTGAGAGCGTTGGCAGAAGAACGTTGGCAGAAGAAGAAGCACCATTGTGGACGATCGACGATCGGTTGTGGACGATCGGCGCTTTCACGGAATCCGAGTTTCGATGTTGTCGAAAACAGAAAATGGCGACTAGGTAGCACAGTTTCCCTGTAATCTTTATAAACGGTACGTTAAGTATATTTGAATCTTTGCTGACGTATTTGCTGATGTCATAGGTTGATTAGCCAATCACATTACTGCCTTCTACCGCTTTTGCCCTATTCAAAGAACCCCATGTGACAGCAAGGACGCAGAACCAGTACATGTATTGCCCCTTTTGGCAATTGACGACGACATTTTACGGGTGGACAATCCTTGACTCATCACGGTAATGTTTCGAATCGAATCGAATCGAATCGTCCAACTTCGAGCCAAAAATTTCGCACTCAACGCCGCCAGTGTTAAGGTTAAAAGGAAGCCCTCTCTTTTTCTCCTCCCAAAAAGCGAAAACCGCCGACACGAGAAATCATCACCACACAACACAACGCTCCGTCCCTTCTCAGAGCTTCATCGGAGTTGTCTCAGATGACAATGGGGGCCATAGATTATAGAATGCTGCTGGACGCTGGATCTAGGAAGAACAGTCGCACGTGGGAGGATCTGAAAGCCGAGACGACTTTGCTCGCCATCATCATTGTCCTGGTTGTGTTGATCGTTGTCTTTTTCATTCTCACTGTCCGCGAGTACCTTTGGGCGTTTCACGGAATCAGCTGCTGTTGTCGTCATGAGCCGCATCATCGTCCTCGAGCCCGCCGTGATGGAATGGATGTTCCAGGTAATACCACGTCTGTTGGAGACACAACGAGTTCATCATCGGAGTACGACTCGATGAGCCTACGAGAACGTAAAATGCTTCGTCGCAGTTGGTACGAGTACTCCCTCGCAAAGTATACGCAGGTGGTGGCCGAAAAAGATCTCGTCAAAGCTGAAACAGAGGAGAATGTCGACGAAGAGCAAAGTGTGGTGGACCTCGAGTTGTCACCAGTGCCCACGTTGATCTCGGTGGTGTGCAACGACGGTACAGTCAAAATCGTTGATCGCTGCTGTTCCATCTGCCTCGGAGAGTTCGAAGTTGATGAAACGATAGTGAGATCTCCTCTCGATGAATGCCCCCATAGGTTCCACCTTGAATGTAAGCCTTGTCGCAGTAAAAGCTGCAATTGGAGCCCAATAACTGTCCATCGTCGAACGTGCTGACAATTCACCGCTTCCTTTTTCGCCATTGCAGGCCTTCTTGCTTGGCTTGAGAAGGGAAAGAAACGGTGCCCGAATTGCAGGTGAGTTTTGCCCGCTTACGAGTATGTTATAGGAACAGATGATGAGATTAGGATCATGAAAGGCCGAAGCCAAACCAATCCTCACTCCGTCCTTTGTGACAGGCACTGGTTTGTCCCGGCGCTCAAGGTAGCGGATCAAATTCATGCAGGTAAGAAAGGGATCGGTTCATGCCATGTTTACAATGCCCATCTCACTCATTTCCGCCCGCTTGCTCGGACTTCATAGAGTTTGGTGATAGCAGCACGTCAACAACAGCTACTGGTTCGTCGGCGAACCTGGGCGATGTTGAATCTGACAATGCCTCGACAGCCGTGACAAACGCTTGAGAGCACCTTGTCCACTTGGTTTCAAATGTGTTGCATAGGATCTAATCGGCACAGTTTGGTGATACCGCAATCCTCGTGCTACCAAAACCGATACATTCATTGTTCGATTCAATGCCTCCTGTCTGGAGCGACGGTACCAAGAAATCATGCTTTGTCACCTCGTTTCGCGCAGCAGAATAGTACTGTCCTTGTTTACCGATATGCGATGTCAAGTGCAAAATATCACAGAAGAGAACGCGAGGCAAATCTGCCTCTCTCCTTCATCTCCAGACTTCCACATGTGCTGTACCTGTAGCGTAATAGGAAGTGCCAAAAGAGTGTTACTTTTCCGTGTGAACTATCTAGATTGCTAAAGCGTAGCACCGGTACAGTGTACGTTGCCACCATTTAGTTGATGCCAAACATTGCGCTGTCAAAGTCTCCCAAGCCAGTGAGAACTTCATCTGCTATTGCTGCAAATTCTGCTTTCTCAGCCTGTGAGAACCTCGGATCTGGAACTGCGACAACCATGCAACCTGCCGCTTTACCACTCTTCACGCCACTCTGAACTCAAAAGGAAGGAGAGAAAGGAAACATTGGAAAAGGCAAGAACGAAAACTTGTCAGCCTCGTGTACATGTATATAGGAACGCATCAAACTGATTTGTTTGCAAGGACATGAACGCACCATTGCGTCTTCAAAAACCAAACAATTCTTTGGGTTCACTCCAAGCCTGTTTGCTGCCAGAAGGTAAATATCAGGAGCTGGCTTCCCATTCTCTAGCTCTGGGTCGTCACCACAGACAATGGTGGCCATGTGCTTGAAGATATCCTCGTGTCTTTGACGTCATTGTTTTTTGAAAAGGTTGAGTGTGACATGTATCAGCATACACGGGTGGTGATGCATGGCAGCCAAAGCAACACAAATGTGTGAGATCATTGGAGTAAACTGCATGGCTACTGTACCGTATGCTATTAATAGAAGCATATCACCACGAAACACACCTCTTTCGTTTCTTGTCTACAGCTGCCTTTCGACTGGACGTTGCTATTGCCATGGGCAATCCAGCTTTTGCAAATGTTTCGACCAGGTCTCTGGCTCCTTCACACGCTACAATATCTTCACAGAAGCTGCTCAAATTGGATTCCCAGCTAAGACCAAATTCTTCCCTAAAAAGTGCAAGCGTCAGCCAGTGCGCTAAACAAGTCAAGCATAAAACAGCATTGGAGCATGTGATATCAGTCTTACACAGAAAGCGGTGAGGTAACACCCCAAGCTTCTTTGGCATATGATTGCATTATTGGGACCCATGAAGAAGCACGCAACCCCAGTATTTGCTTTTTGCATTCCCACGGCAATTTCCTTCCACTCTTGGCAAGCTCCTCTTCAACCGTGGGTGGCAATAACCCTTCGAAATTCTTGATGTTGGCTCTGTCAGAGAGTGCTTCTGTGTCCAGCAGAGTCCCATCCAAATCGAAGAGTACGGCCTTGATACTTGGCATACCGGTAGAAGCTGAGCTTGGATCCGACGACGAAGCCATGGTTCCTACTAGCTAGTACTTGGTTTGAGATGTTTCGAGCAAAAGTACCGGTACGGGAAAGAAATAAAGTGTCGACGGTCTGGAGCCGATCCGTGAATCGAAGCGACTTCAATCACGTCATCGATACGATGTACTTGTAGCATTATTATTGTTATTCATGTGATGTTTCGATGTTTCGATGTTTGTTTCGGCTTTTGGTCTATCCAGATCGATTGAAGTGGGCAATGATGAGAGGCATTGTGTTATCGCGACTCTTGCCATTACTTTCCTTTTTAATGAACATGCGTTCGGGTCTTTCCCTGACGTTTTTAGGTTCTCGGTTATCACTAAAGTACAAGGCTTTGAAGAATCCTGTCGGAGGGAGATTTAGAGGCATTGGCACGCGAAGCACCATCACCATGATGCCAGAAGGACCTGAAGTGAGAACGCTGGTGGATCAGCTGCAGGGTGGAGTGGGAAGAAGGTTGCTAGATGTTAAATTTGTCTCAGGAAGATATGTTCGCAATGGAAAGCCTGGTGGCTTTAGGGAGTTTGCAGCCACCATGTTACCATTAGATCTCCAGAAGGATGACGATTCCCCATCCGTGGATCTAATTCGTTCTTGGGAAGCTAAGGGAAAGTTCCTTTACATCGTTCTGGATGATGGGAGCAAAGAGACAAGGGGAAAAGATAAGAAGGAGGGTGATTTCCAGCGCTCCATATGGATAACTCTGGGCATGACTGGAAAGTTTGTCAATGAACAAATCCATGCACAAGACGACACCCATGGCAGATGGTACCTGGAAGTCATGGATGTCAAATCCAAAAAGCAGAGCAAAATTCACTACCACGACATTAGAAACTTTGGGACCCTCAAATTCTGCCTCTCAAAGACTGAACTTCAGGACAAGCTGGCTTCGCTAGGACCTGATATACTAGATCCCAATGTCACCACAGAAGATGTCTTTGTTCAGATTGCTAGTCAGAAGAATCCCAGTATGAATATTTGCAAGTTCCTAATGAACCAAGCAGTAAGTTCGGACTGCATACCTGCCGATGGTTAACGCACCTTCTGATCTAGAATTGCTCATCCTGCTCCGGCGTCCTCTCGCACCGTAGAATTTGTGTGGGATTGGAAACTACATCCTAGCAGAAGGCCTTTACCGAGCCAACATTGATCCATTTGCATCCCTTGGTGAAATGTCTAATACGCAAAGTCGTGCTCTCTTTCGTGAACTGCAAAGCACTGCGCTGGAATCTTATGAAGCACAAGGCATGACTCGGCAAAAGGGTGGAGTCTACGCCAACGTCGACGGGTCCAAGGGAAAATTTGAAATGCAATTGCAGTGCTACGGACGACAATTATGTGCTCGTCGTGGCGACCCGGTCATTCAAGAAACCGCGGGCCCCCATGGCAGAACCATTTGGTATACCAAGGCACAGCTCTTTATGCCGCTGGAGGAGAGATTTCCGCCTGCTGCTCGCCAACGTGCAACGCCCAAGCGAAAAGCGACAAATGGCCCTTCCAGTGGCAAACATTCTGACAACGGGTGGGATGTGTACGCAAGGGCGGAATCAGACTCTGCCAGGCTTGGTATTTTGCTCTCGGGTCTTACAGAGCCAAGTTGGAGAGATGTCCTGACTAAGGAGATGCAAAAAGACAAGTATTCAACTCTAGTAAACTTCCTTGCGGATGAGCTAGCCAACAAAGAAACCATTTGCCCTCCACATGACTATGTCTTCTCGGCACTGAACCTGTGCCCATTGGACCACGTCAAGGTCGTTGTGGTAGGCCAGGATCCGTATCATGGAAAGGGCCAAGCCCACGGGCTGGCCTTTTCAGTCCAGAAAGGTATCCCCCCGCCGCCATCGTTGAAGAATATACTCAAAGAGGCAACGGAGGATGTTGGAATCGGTCCTCCCATGCATGGAAACCTAGAACATTGGGCGTGCCAGGGTGTCCTACTTTTGAATAATGTCCTTACGGTTCGGCAGGGTTCGGCAAACAGCCACAAAGGCAAGGCTGGGTGGGAAATATTGACGGGTGCCCTTATCGATCATTTGAATACGGAGAAGGAGGGCTTGGTCTTTCTTTTGTTTGGCAACGCCGCTCACAGCAAAGCTGACGCTGTGAATGAGACACGGCACACTCTAATCAAGACAAGTCATCCTAGCCCTCTGGGGGCAACGAAGACTGCGTCCCCTTTCCTCGGCTCCAAATGTTTCAGCCGATGTAACCAGCTTTTGGAGCAGCAAGGTTTGGACCGAATCGACTGGAACGTACGCTAGAAAATGGAATGCAAATGAAAACATGGTAGCGCAGTGGGAAGGGGAATGAAGGGCTAGCTATCTACAGCGCCCTGTTTCTGCGTCTGCCCTCCGCAGTACCAGGTAGTACAAACGCTTCGGCGGTCTTTTCAGCTTAGCTGGCCTACCAGAATTCTCAACGGATCTTTGGATCAAGACAGTCATTTTGCCTTTCCCGTACACACTTCCAACCATCCCAGTTTTACTCGAGCCCCCCAATTGAATCTTCTTCAAAGTACTGATGGACTTGCAATGATGAATCGAAACACTACTGCTACAAGCGCTGCAGCGTCAAGAAAACGAGGGAAAATGTCCATGGCAACGATGGTTCTGCTGATGGTGTCGAATGGGGTATCTTTCTTCCTCGGGGCGTTTTTGGCATTGAATGCATTTGCTGGACATTGCCCTTCTTCGTCGCAAAGTGGAGTTATGTCAGTGCAGACTGGAGCCTTGCGAAGTCTGCAAAAGAAAGAGGAAAGTGAGAAATGCACTAATGAATCTGTGTTTCCCGAGGAGATCCAACGATTTGCCTCAGGAATGGCCCACATGAAGAAAGAAGACTTTACCAACACATTTGATCTTGGAGTCCCACTTGACCAGCCCAAGAAGGGAGCTGAAGATGTGCTCATTCTCTATAACAAAAAGGGTGCCATGCCCAAAAGGCTACAATCAAGCTCTCCCACATCCATGGAACTGCTCAAAACAGATGAAGCTGTTGAACGATGTGATTACATGAATGTGATCCTAACCAATTATGATCCAGGAAGAGCGCAGTGTGTGGTAATTGTCCCGCAGTATGAATCATACCATATCCAGAAATATATGAGAGTCCCACTATCTGGCCACAGAGAGCTGAATAGCAAGTATCCTCTTGAGCCAGTTTCCAGAGGGCATCAAGCCAATGGCAGAGAGCAGTTTTTGCCTCCCAAGGCAGTGGATACCCAGAAAAATTGGGATATGCTACGAACCTATTTGGCATCGATTGATGATGTCTTGAAGGAACTGAGACCCATTGTGGACAAAATTTCAATCAAGAACACTGTGGTAGTCATGGTCTGCAACCAGTAAGTACCTCCAACTAGGGGTGCAAGAGTTCAATGCAATGTCATATTTGATACAGAAATCTCACAACACATTCTCTCTTTGCAAACATTTAAATCCAACAGTGGGCAATCTGAGTTGCTTCTCAACTTTGCGTGTTCTGCAAAATCGAGGAACTTGGATATCTCAAATGTATTGGTCTTTGCCACTGATCAAGAAACCAAAGAACTAGCAGAAAGTGTGGGCCTCACTGCCTATTTTGATGAACGAGTGAGTTACGCATCTAGAGGATCATAATTGTGAGGAGAATCTTTGGTCTCCTAATATTATTTGGTTTCTTGCGAAGAACTTTGGGGAGATTCCTATGGAGGCGGCTGGCCGTTATGGTGATAGGTAAGTGTGAGGAACAGATATCCCAGAGCTGATTGTGATCTGTTTCTGAGCTTTACCCTTGTTTTTCAGGAAATTTGTTGCAATGATGATGGCAAAGGTACATACGAGTGCAATCTTGTTGCAGTCGCCAGGATCGGAACTCTCATTGCATTGATGTGCTCACTCCAATCCATCCGCAATGTTGCTTGTAGGTCATTTGTGTACAAGTTGTGGGCCTTCTTGGTGTGGACATTTTGTTTCAGGATGTGGATATTGTATGGTTTAAATCTCCACTTAGTTTCTTCCACGATGAACAGTCGCCAATCTACAGTTTTGATGCCTACTTCCAGGATGATGGTGCTCATTCAGTGCGATATGCACCTTGGAGCAGCAATAGTGGATTCTACTATCGTACGTGCATGAAATGAGACAATGTCCTTGTTTAATCTCCCTGCCTGAGATGCAATCCTCACTCCTTGCTCTCGCACCTATGCTCAAAACTACAAAGTTCGGCACAATGACAGAACACAATACTTCCTAAACTCTTTGTTGATGCAAGGTGATTTGATTTTGAAAACAGATTCTCACCAACAAGCCTTGGTTGCTGTCCTTTCCGAACACGCCAATCTGTATGGCCTCCGAGTGAAAGTGCTGAGTCGTGATGAAGACGAATTTCCTGGCGGGTATCATTTCCATCAAAAGACCGGCAAGTACATGAGGGCATACTTCAAAGGCCACAATAAACCATATCTGATGCACATGAGTTGGACCAAGGTAAGCCTATCTACTGGGTGGAGTCGCACATTTACCGTACAAGCAGATTGCATTAGATCTTTTGGGCTCTGTTTCTTGCTGACACACAACTTCTGTTTGGTCGCTCCTCTGCCGTGTTGCCTGCTGCAGAATAAGGACAACAAACTTCTTTTCTTCAAACAAATGGGTGAATGGTATCTTAACGAACAATGTGTCAATAGAAAACCAGGCGAAATTGACATTTCCAAGGGCAGCGACTTTGTCAGTACATGTTGTTCCAAGACAGCTCTGTTTTCATGTCATTATCGTGACAAGCCGAGCATTAAATCATGCAAGGACAGTCCACCTAT